TGATTATTATCTTGTATAGTGGTTTTAATTTATCGCAAGCCACCTTGACACGGGCTGCAGATGAACGAAGTGGCACAAATCAGGATCGCGATATGTCGCTTGCCAACCTCTCTTTGAAGCTCTCTTTATTTTCTCCGCAGAAAAGGGTGTTTCCATGGACGGGACAGACCAAGAGCCGGTGGCGGGGCGGACCCGCCAGAGGTCCCCTCCGGAGGAGAAGCCGTTCCCTTTCCCGGCCTGGGAGGAGAGCTCAGGGGACGAGAATGGGCTGGTCATTCACAGCCAGGTGGAGGAAGAGGAACATAAATGCGCCATGTGCGGGGAGAGCTTCAGTCAGCCGCTGGGCCTGCTGCGCCACCAAAAGCAGCAACACGCTGGCGAACGAGCCTTCGTCTGTCCCGAGTGCGGCCGGGGCTTCAGCCTCAAACACAACCTCATCATCCACCAGCGCATCCACACCGGCGAGAAGCCATTCGGCTGCAGCGTCTGCGGGAAGCGCTTCAGCCTCAAGCAGAACCTGCTCACCCACCAACGGGTTCACGGTGGCCCAGCCCGCCGCCCTTTCGCTTGCCCCGTCTGCGGGAAGCACTTCCGGGAAGAACGGTTGCTCACCGCTCACCAGAAAAGAGACGACTGCGAGCAGCAGCAGCAGGGCAGCCTGGAAGACCAAACAGGGCCTGTCGACGAGGAGGGTGAGGAGGATTTTGCGCGCCGCCGGCTGAGGGTCAAGCATCAAGAGAAGCCTCCCCAAACCCGGGCCGCCTTTTCCCGTCGGGGTTCTGGGAAACCCTTAGGGGGACGAAGCGGCCGTGCTGGCTCGCCAAGGACCCGGCAAGCAAAGGAGGAGACCCCCAAAGTCCCAAAACCGAGGCTCCGCAGGGAAGACGCTCCCTTCCAGTGCGTGACATGCAAGAAGAACTTTTCGCAGAAAGGCAACCTGGCGGCACATCGTCGGAGTCACCGGGAGCGGGAGTCCCTCAGCTGAAGACAAGCTGAGAGGGTTGAGCAGGGGCTGAGCAATCGGAGCGGTAGCGGGCAGCAGGCTTGAGAAAGGGACCAAGAGCAGGCGGCCAAGGAGAAAGTGCAGCCCCCTCCCCATCCCGGATCCGGTCGTTCGAGGGACATACTGGAAAATATTTTTTTACGTTCTCCATCAAGTCCCTTTTCACATCTTGGGACCGCGAGCTGACAAAAAAACTACAAGACACAGGGTGCTTTCCATATTTCTGCATTTTTGTACCTTCTTTTTTTTTTTTTTTCTTTTTCTGTCCTTTCTGGATTGAGTGTCACATCCTCCTTTCCACATTTTGCATTCCATTTTTGTCCCTTTCTGACGGAAAACCAGCTCATTTCTCCGAAGAACGCCGACCGTAGCCGAATTAGACCACCAGCCTGGCGATAGGGAGCAAGGTCCGAGCTGTGCCAAAGAGCCCGGGGGAGGGTGGAGGTTTGGGATAGCCGTTGGATCACCCGAGGCATGCACCGTGAACAGAGTCATGAGTCTCCTCGGAAGCAGTTCCTTTGTCATTCCCTGTGGAATTGAACCCAAGACGTACAGCGTGGCGTGGCGGGGACCGTAGAAGTACTTCCGTTGACAACTACGTCATGGAACTAGCTGGAACATGCGGGCATCTTTGGTGCGAGAATCCACCAAGGAATGGAGGAACCCGCCAGAGATCCGTGCCCCACGGAAAATTCCTGACCGCTCCCTGCTCGGGAGAGGCAGTACAGGACCATCACCGATGTCGATTCGGCAAAGAGAGGTCGCTTGGAAGATCAGCATCTGTGAAGATCTTGGAGACGCGGGAGGGGAAACTCACAATTTGGAGGGGTTGTGTTCCCAAAGACCCCTCCCCTTCCCCTGCAAGTTCTGCCTGTGGAGAAGACTCCTTCCTGCTCTGCCTCCCTTCACTGTGCAGCTCACTGCTCACTGCTGTCCCTGCTGCTCAGCGGGTTTCGCGGCTCCTGTTGACTGTTACCACATTCGGCCTGTTTTAGAAGCTTTCAAGCAATCCTGGTTGAGCTGGACCTGTTGAGCAGAGTCGCTGCCTTGCTGAGGGGGTCTGTCTGGGGTGCATGACTCCAGTATACGAAGGTCCCCAAGTGGAGGGGTGAGAAAAGGGGGTCTCGGAGCGAGGCAGCGGAGGACAAAGGCTGACTGTGCTCTCTCTTTTGCACTCTCTCTTTTCCCTTCTTTCTTCCCTCCATCATCTTTTTCCACCCTCATTTTCTACTTTGTTTTTTCCCCTTCCTTCCTTCCCTCTTTCTCTCTCTCTTTTCTTTTGCTTCCTTCCTTCCTTTCTCCTCTTTTCCCATTCCTTTCTTTCTCACTGGCTCGCTCTTACTCTCTTAGTTTCTTTTTCTTTCTCTCTTTTTCTTTTCCTTCCTTTCCTCTCTCCCTTTTTCTGTTTTTTTTCTTCCTTTTCCTTCTTTTTCACCTTTATTCCTTCCTTACTCTTTTTTCTTCCTACCTTCCTCCCTCCCTCCCCCTTTTCCTTCCCTCCTCTCTTCCTCCCTCTTCCTCTTTTCCTTCCTTACCACCTTCCCCGTTTCCTCCCTTTCTTCCCTCCCTTCCCTCATCTTCCTTCATTCCATCCTCCCTCCTTTTTCTTTCCTTACCATCTCCCTCTCCCTTTTCCTTCCCATCTCCCTTTCTTCCTTCCTTCGTTCCACTCTCCCTCCTCATTTTATCTTCCCCCTTCCCTCCGTCCCTCATGCACGCCCAGCTACCCACACCATTCCTGCATCCTCCCAGAGCAAATCGCCAGGCAGAATTTCTGCCCCACATTTCCAACGGATATGGATTTCCCGGAGGGAATGTTTGAGTGCTCTGTCAGGATTTCAGTCCTGGGACGTGAGGTCATCCGCCCGAGGTCTTTTTGGCTCTTCGGAGTCGTTCCAGTGGTGCTTCACAGTGGGGTTGGGGGCAAGTGACTTCTGGGGGTCCCACCTTGCTGTGTCTCCCCCATGAAGCCCAAGTCCAAAGGATATATTTTTTGGGGGGGTGGGAAAGGGTTTCATTTCATGTTTAACTCTACCGAGGCCTTGCCCCTGCTCTCCCCCTCCTCCCAGGATGGCCCCTCCTGAAAACCTTCGCACAGCCTCTTGCCACACCGACAACAGACTCCTGGACGATTCAGCTGCCTCCCTCTTTCCACAGAGGCTGAAAAGTACCTGGGTGAGTGGGGGGTCTGGCCTGCTTGGGGATATTGGGGGGGGGTGGTGTCACCCTCCACGGGGCACTGGCTGCAAACGGTTGTGCTTGGGCGACGATGCACCTTAATTCTTCCTCCTCCCAGTGGCTGGAGCCTCTTTCTCCATTGAATAAAACGTTTTGCCTTCCCTTCGGTGCCTTGTCTGTGCTTTTTGGTGGATCAGGCCGACGGAACGTTGGGGGAGGGGATGGGGGAGTATGGCTGACTGGGTGGATGTGGCCAGCTTGAGGCCACTCCCCAAAATGCTGGCATGTTTCCTCTTTGCACTGGGTAGACCGAGCTGAAGCCACGCTAGCCCGATTGTTTCACCAGACCGAAGTGATATGGGCCATCCTCTTACATTTTCCAGGGTGGCCCCACGGGCCTTGAGTTGAGCACCCCTGATTTAAAGAAAGGGTGCAAAAGGAGGGACAGAATGAAATGGGAATGGCAAAAATGAACATAATTTGGATTTCTTTTCAATCGTGAAATAACATTGTTAAATTGTCCCATAGCGAGTTGTCCAACAAGTGGGCCATGCGAGTCGGCCACAGTGAGTTGACCACCGCAAGTTGTTCCATTGTTCCCAGATTCCACTTGCTCCTCCCCACCTAGTTGCCCTTTTTACTCAATCACCTTTTCAAAAATCTCCAGAGCTCCTGAATAGGTTGACCCATCCACTGAAGCTCCTGGTTTCAACCAACAGCCAGTAAGAGGTCGTTGTGGTGCCGCTGCCACATGGAAACCAATGAAGCCTGCCATTCTGCTGCCTCGTGGCTGAAACACGGCAGCGTCTTTTACTCAGACGCTGAAAGAAGCGACAGGGACAGGAAACGGCAGCGGCGGCATCTGAGTAAAAGACGGTCGCTTTCCCGCCGCGTGGATCAGATTCCTCTGGAGTTCTTCGAAAAGGGAAAGCAAGCGATTGGAAATGGGGCGGAGAAGAGCAAGTGGGTTCCGGGAGGCTAGCGAAGGGATTGGATAGGAGAAATAGAAAGAGGGCATGTTGCGGCATCTCTGTGGTTGGCCGTAAAGGCGAACGGCCACAGTGTGTCGCTAAGTGAATCATCTTCACTCAAGGACAACGGAGAGGTTGTTCCTCAGCCTGCCAAAACAAGGGATGTGCCAGGAGTGGTCGATGTGGAGGAAGGGTGGATGAGGGGTGGGCAGACTGGATCCTCGAAGGGAGGGGGCTTGCCTGGCAGCTCTGGTGGGGCACAGGGAAGAGGGTGTGAATGGCTTGGGGCATGGCAACGGGGGGAGGGGGTGGCACCTTCTGCACTGTTGGTAGGGCAGCCCTCTCTGTGCTGGCTGGTCTTTCGCCCACTCCCACCCTCCAAATCCAGACAGGATTGGCTCCAGTGCTTCTCTCAATTTCAGAACATGTTCTGACCCAGCCTTAGCAGAGGCAAGAAACAGACTCCTTCCTTGTCACGAAAGCCCCCTTTTTATTTATCTCCTATGAATTAATGGCATTCACCCACCGAAAAGTCCAGGCAATACTCTTTCAAGGAGTTAACTGCACTACAGACCTTATCAGTTCCTTGAGCTCCCAGCCGAAAATCAGTTCTGGCAAGCAGTCTTTGATGCACGAAACACAATGAGCAAACTCTTCAGAAATACGAACTGTTGTCTCCTACGACAACCACTCCTCTTTCCTTCTATTTATTCCCCAGCCCCGGAGGGGCCATTCAGCGTCCACGTGTGCTTTGCTTCCCGAGTCGACTCCTTGTCCTCTGTTGTTCACCTCTCCTAACTGCTCTGCACATACACACATCTGGCACAGGCCCCAGCTGTTCTTCCTCCCCACTTATATATCAGCCTCCAAAGGCAGCTGCCTCTCGGGTGGCTGGGAAATGTTGAAAAAACCATGGCTCTTATCTCTGCCTCTGATGCTGAGCCTCCATCAGAGCCTCTCCCAGATGCCAGAACTGGCTCAGGTTCTTCCACAACCTCATCGTCAACATCCTAGAGTTATGCGTGCGCGCACACACACACTGAGGGATGTTAGGATTGTCTTACCGCCACAGTATTCCAGAGATAGTCATTTGTGCACCTAGTTTGGTTGAAAATGCTGGAGGTGTTCCAGAGTTATGTGAGAACACACAGACACAAGATTTTTGGGCAGGGAGGGGACACCATCTCTTGAAATCCCACCCCCCAGTACCCTGAATCCTATCTGTACCCATGCGTGTTTTCTCTACGCATTGGGTAGACCAGGATGATCTTCTCAGGGCTGTCATTAATCTTTGTCGGCGTTGCCATCTGTGTGGGCATGGCCAGCTTGGGGTCACTCACTGGCCGTGGCCAGCTGGGTGGGTGTGGCCAACTGGGTGGTCATGGCCAGCTTGACACAACTCCCGCAACGGCTGCCATGTTTCCTCTTTGCATTGGGTAGAGCGGGGCAACTCCATCACTGGCCCGATGTCTCTACTTCACAATGGGTAGGCTGAAGCGATGCCACGTTGGATGGCCGTTTTCAGAACGGCAGCCCTGTTTGACCCCTTTGTCGTAATGGGTCTCCCCCTATAGGATAGTTTTCGGAGCTACTCATCTACCGGCTCCGGTTTTCTGACAGTGAGAAGAATGGACCAATGGAAGAGAAGTTGCCTTTGGAAGTTGTGGGAGGTTGATGTCTGGAAGCTTTGAAGGAAAGAGATGATTGTCATCTGTCAGAAATGGTTTAGGTTTATCAAGTGTAAGTAGCCCAGTCCACATCGCCCGGTCTACCAAGTGTGGCACCAGCGGGCCGGCTTGCCGCGACCAAGTCTATCAAGTGCACAGAGCCCAGTGGACCAGCAGGAGGCGGCCCAATCTACAAATCTCCCCCCTCTTCCTTTTTCTTTCTTTCTTTCTTTCTTTCTTTCTTTCTTTCTTTCTTTCTTTCTTTCTTTCTTTCTTTCTTTCTTTCTTTCTTTCTTTCTTTCTTTCTTTCTTTCTTTCTTTCTCTCTCTCTCCCTCTTTCCTCCCTCCCTCCTCTTCCTTCCTTCTTTCCCTTTCTCCCTCCTTCCTTCCCTCCTATCTTCCACTTTCTTTTATTCATTCCTTCTCTCCTA